TCATCACCACATCCCTGGGCGCCAGTGTCAGCCAATACGTGGTGTGCGGCTTCGATGACTGTCCGCAAGTGTTTAAGACTTATACCGGACTTTTCATTCACATTCCCGGCGCTCATAACGTGGATAAGTATAGCGACTATTTTGACAAATGCATGGAGAGGTCGGTGCCGCCGCCGCCCCTTGAGGTGGTGCCCATCAATAGGCAGGAATTGGCACTCAGACAGTCCATAACTGGTGATCGAGACCTACAGGTGCCCTCGGCTATGGCTATTGAATGGCACAATGATGACAACTCAGGTATTGTTATCCATAATGTATTTAGTATTGAATTTGGAGTTTATTTTATATATGAATTTTGCAGTGAATGTAAAACAAGAGTCAATTGATGACCATATTAGCGGTGAAACAGATAATCAAACCTTCAGTTTTGCCTCAGAATTACTGAAACAAAACTCGAGTATTGATAACACCATTAGCTCTGAAAATACCTCACAATTGATCTCAAATGTCAGTTATTACTGCAATGATTGTGAACTCAGTTTTCCGACGGAGTTATGCCTTCGCAAGCATTTGGGAAATATCCACAAAAACCCAGTGTTTGCGTGCGATTCGTGCGAATGGAGGGGTTGTGACCAGAGGTCCCGCAACACTCACATTCTGAAGCAGCATAAGAATCTGGAGAATAACCAGAATTTAGGGTCCACCCCAACCACCACCACCACTACTACTACTAGCACTGCCATCGTTAAGNGCACTCCTGTGGTGCCATAATTCAATGATCCAGACATTCTTGGCGTTAATCCAGGCGCCGGCTCCCAGTCCTAATATAAAGTTATAGAGGTATAGGTGCCATAATCGCTGTGAAAACGGTATTAATAGACTGGACACAGTCATCGAGCACAAGAGCACAGTTAGCAGTAGCTGTCGGTTCAGGTATTTTAATAGGAAACCAACTGTAAGGGACAGGTATGTCATAAATTAGTGGTAAGAATATTCTGTTTGTTTTGTACTAACAGAGAGCACCGGCCATCAAACCTCCCGCTTGAAAAATAAATATCAGGGATATCTTATCCATAGATGTGTCTAAAATGTATTTCAAGTCGACCAGCGCCGGCCCGATCGCTGAATATACCGTTCCCTTCAAATGTCACATTAAATTTATAATGTAATATTAATAACTTTAAAATAATAGTCATAAATCTATGTACAGGTGTTTAATTAATCTGATTTTAACTCATTATCTATTAAATAAATATTTCCCAATAACTTACTTACTTGTATAAAATTTTATAAGATTTTTTTGTGATAATTTATCCAATATTTTGTAGTAGCAAGTTATTTTTACACTTACACTAGTTTTGTGATGTTTTTTTTAAAAATAATAAATAACAAATCATTAATTTAATTATACTTACGAAAGCTAAGTGTATGTAACAAATGATGAAAGTGTAGACATATTTCTCGCAGACCATATACCGGTGCTGAACCACTAATGGATCCACCTCATCTGTGTGGTCAAACCCGAATCTAACTTTCCGTTTAGGCATTTCTTAAATGCTTTATTAAGTTTTAAAACTCGCACTTAATTTTAACTTCAAATACTAGTAATCAGTATTTATTTATACTATTTGCATAAAAGTGTCAAAATGAGTTATTTAATAATATTCCTTGCTAATAATATCTAATAATTCAATTAATGTCTAAATAATAATAAAACTAATGATTGTTCACTTAAATGATTATAACAACTACACTATTGTCGTCATAATATCATACGTTAGATATATTTAATCAGTTTTTCGTTCACTACAAGTGTCTGATTGTATTGTAGACTATATAAGTGTTTTAAGTCCCTCACGAGCGCTGGTATATTAATCTTATCCGCCACTAGACTACTCATGAAATCCCGGTGCGAATACGACAGTCAAATATCATGTCTGTATCCATGGTATGAGAAATTTTCCTTTTCTTTCTCATTGTGTAAATATTTTTGCCTCAATTTATTTTAATATATTCTCTCTCTCTCTCTCACTCACTCACTCACTCTCTCTCTCTCTCTCTCTCTCTACCAGTTATTATCTAAGTTTTAAATACTATTTACAAATACAAAAAAAGTAAGTGAGATTAAATATAAGTATAAATATTATTTTAATTCATATAAATATTTTTGAAATAATTTTATTTTTAACTCATTTAAAATGAAAAAGTTGTAAACAAGGTTTTATCAATTAAATGATGTATTGATATGTAATAAATACAAATTTCATTTTAATTAGTTATAATCAGATGTATATATCCAGGTAGATTTAAATAAATTATACGGTACAAAAATACTGTATATAACAAATCATAGAATAAAATATAGATTCAGTGTAAGAGTATAATACAGTATAACATTAATATCAAATTAATTGAGAAATTGGCGACATATTAATTAATGTGCCCTAAGTATGAATCAATTTATGCTTATTCAGCGCCATTATACTAATCCCTTTCCACTCGCAGTGTTCGCATTCATAGCCCGGAAGGTTATGGTCTTTACTAATGTGTAGCCGTAGTCTGGCTTTCGTATGGAAGCTCTTATAACAGAGAGTGCAGTCAAACCCCAGGGAATAACTCTTGGGTGTGGGACGTGCTACCTGTCCACTAAATGTGGGAAATAACGGCATCGCACTACCGGTGCCCATAGTATTCGCACTTAATAACTCATTATAAGCGGTCATAAAGTTAAACGTCGGCTGGTTTTCCAATTGGGAACTGTTTTGAGTGTCGATGCCATCGAAATTCATGTCAAACCCAATGAACTCCTCATTATTTGGCTCTTGTTTTATATTAACTGTCAAATCAAATCAAAATATCAATCAAATCACTGTTCAAACAACAATCAATACAACAAACAATACCTGTGTTTGCGTTGAACGGAGTTTGTCCTAAATTCTGATACCATTCCGCTAACGCCATTCCCATACCTATCAAAAACAAAAAAGTATTAAAAACTTTAATTCATTTCCAAATGCGAGTCAAAAGTACTGGAATTATCGCCATAAAACGGTGTGTCCGGATCAGTGGCACCGGTAGTCTGTTCAGGGAGTTTAGGTATCGGATAATTGTGGAACTTTCTCGTGTGTCCCTTGCGTTGGCTCTTTGAATAGCCCGTCCACTCGCACTGTTCGCACTGAAAGGCCGCTATCTTATGAATGTCACCCAAATGTTTACGCAGACATAACTCAGTGGAACAACTAATGCCACAGTCGTGGCACCGGTAGTCTGTGGGCGACTCCTTATATTGCTCTATCGGCGCCATTACATTGCATTTCGTAGGTTTGGGTACGGGTTTGGGTACGGCATTGTCAACAGGCAGGCGCCGGTGTTTCTTCCGGTGTTTCTTCATTGAGTGCACTTCTAGTCTATGTTTGTGTAGACTTTTAAAGTATTTGAATGTTTTTAGACACCCTTTGACCCCACATTTCTTAACCTTTTGAGGCGATTGTTTAGTCTTAACGATGGCAGTGCTAGTAGTAGTAGTGGTGGTGGTGGTTGGGGTGGACCCTAAATTCTGGTTATTCTCCAGATTCTTATGCTGCTTCAGAATGTGAGTGTTGCGGGACCTCTGGTCACAACCCCTCCATTCGCACGAATCGCACGCAAACACTGGGTTTTTGTGGATATTTCCCAAATGCTTGCGAAGGCATAACTCCGTCGGAAAACTGAGTTCACAATCATTGCAGTAATAACTGACATTTGAGATCAATTGTGAGGTATTTTCAGAGCTAATGGTGTTATCAATACTCGAGTTTTGTTTCAGTAATTCTGAGGCAAAACTGAAGGTTTGATTATCTGTTTCACCGCTAATATGGTCATCAATTGACTCTTGTTTTACATTCACTGCAAAATTCATATATAAAATAAACTCCAAATTCAATACTAAATACATTATGGATAACAATACCTGAGTTGTCATCATTGTGCCATTCAATAGCCATAGCCGAGGGCACCTGTAGGTCTCGATCACCAGTTATGGACTGTCTGAGTGCCAATTCCTGCCTATTGATGGGCACCACCTCAAGGGGCGGCGGCGGCACCGACCTCTCCATGCATTTGTCAAAATAGTCGCTATACTTATCCACGTTATGAGCGCCGGGAATGTGAATGAAAAGTCCGGTATAAGTCTTAAACACTTGCGGACAGTCATCGAAGCCGCACACCACGTATTGGCTGACACTGGCGCCCAGGGATGTGGTGATGATCTTTTCCCGTTGATTGAAACCCATGGCCACCATCTCATCCCTGGTGTGACTGAATCGGTGTCTAATCATTGACTGATTATTGATGCCTTTCCACTCGCACTTCGGGCACTGGAAGGCCCGGCGCTTGTGAACGGCCACCAAATGGTTGGATAGTCTTAATTGACTCACAAAACTCTTCGGACACTCATCGCACTTGTGGTCAAACGTATTGGTCGCGCGATTATCACCAGAAGTACTGTTTGGCGGTACGACTGCCACCGCTGTTGTCGTCAATTGGTTAGCAGTCGTATTGGATTTGTGGCGGAAGTAGTCACTGATCTTCGATGCCTTCAGCGACTTCTTCTTAAGTGGTGTCGCCTTCTTCGGTGAGATCTTAGCCATTGAATGGGTATTCAGTGTTGACTTCCGTGTCGTCGACGGCGTATCGGCTAAAGTGACAGACAATTGAATGAATGGTAAACCAAATCAATACACCAATTAATACCTGATTTGAAAGTGTTTTGCAGACTTTGCCGACTCTTGAGCTCATTGTAGACACCATTGAATTGA